ATCCATGCTCTTAACCACTATGCTATGCAGCCCTGCCTCACTGTATTGTGGAACTCTCAGATTGGAAATTCCCCTTTTGGTCATCACATTGATCAAAAAATATAAAATAATAAAATATTTGTGGCAAAATTGTTAACAATTGGTGCCTAGGTGAATGAAGAGTATACAGCAATTATGGTGCTATTCCTGCAACTTTACTGCACATTTGAAATAAAAAGTTAAAAATTGCTTTTGCCATCATACAATGGGACATGTTTCCTGAAAGTCATGACCAAATTACCTATTGCTGATCAGCAACGAAGGCTTTAAGAAAATTCTTTGGATCCTTATAATGATCCTGCTATATGCCTGATCTAAACTGCTCACACACCATGCCAATTAGATTAAAGGGCTCATGGGAGAGGAAGTGGCCCTAAAAAAAGAACACTGTTCCCCAATAGAATAGTAAATGTGGGCCCTATTCTCAGTGCTTAATAATCAACAACATGCAATTCCAAGTAGGGAAAAAAATTACTTCCAAAAAATGCATTATATAACTAACTACAAATCAATTTTCCCCGTTGTTCATTCTAACCAGAATAGTTGTTATTGCCTCCTTACACTCTCCCAGCCAGCCTATATCAATGCTCTGTTGGAAACCTTGGTGGCAGCTGCATTTTTTAGGTAGAGCAATCTCTATTTCAGCTTCTCGTGGCATTTAACCCTTCTCTGAGGGAAGACAACATGAAAGAATATGTGTAGTTATTGACATCCTTATTACCAAAAGCTCATTCCTTTAGGCAAGTCTCTTGTAATTATTTTCTAAATTACCCATGAAAACTAATTTCAGGGGTTTTTTTTGTTTTTCAGACAGAGTCTTGTTCTGTCACCCCAGCTAGAGTGCAGTGGCATCATCATAGCTCACTGTAACCTCCAACTCCTGGGCTCAAGGGATCCTCCTGCCTCAGCCTCCCAAGTAGCCGGGACTACAGGCATGTGCCACCATGCGCAGTTAACTTTTTCTATTTTTTGTAGGGACAGGGTCTCACTCTTACTCAGGCTGAGCTAGAGCAATCCTCCTGTCTTGGCCTCCCAAAGTGCCAGGATTACAGGTGGGAGCCACCGCATCCAGCCTAATTTCAGTTCTTAAACTCATAAACTTCCCAATACACCTTGTGCACAAAATCTCCTAAAGTTTCATGGCTGAAACAGTGATTAAAAAAAAAAAAAAAAAGCAATGATATCCAAATACATTTTCTTTGAAACTATCATCCCAAGCTCTTAATGTTTTTAAAACGAGCATAGAAACCACTAACTTCCAACCACGGCTGAAAGTAGTACCTCCCTGCTGTTGCCCTAATACGTTCTAGGTAACCAGTTTCTCTCCTCTGGAAAATGGCTACTTTCAAGATTTTCTGTGGTTGAATCTAACAGCTGCCTACAGTATGAAATGAACTGACTAGGATCCTTACTTTTCACACTCTTTGGACTACTTGTCAAGAAAGGAAACAGAATTAATGAAACGCTAAAATTTAAAATCCTCCATTATTTCCAGAAATTTTGCTTAAATATAGAATGGAGGAGACTCATAAAAGGTTGGAACTACAGTAAAGGTTGCAAAATTACATTGCAATTTTATTAATCTATGTTGTTGTGCTTCCTTTCTCAACCTCCTTCCAAGCCTTCCCCACAAAACAGTCCCTCACTCCTTCCCATCAAGGGCCTTATTTAACCAAGGCTTACTGAGCACCTCAGTACGTACCAGACACTAAGACAGGTGCTAAAAAGATACAGAGAGATAAGACAGCACCTACACCCAAGCAGCTCACAGTCTAGAGGAAAAGACAAGTATAAATAGACAATTTCAACAGTGTAATAAATACATTATTTGAAGTACCTCCTACAAGCCTGTTCCTGCAAGTTGTATCATTCCAAATCACATACCTGAAAATTCTCTGGAAGAAGAAATTTTACTGATAATCAAACGAAGTTTGAGACATTTTCAGAAGTTTAAGAAATTAGGACAGCAGTGGCACACATGTGGAAAGATCCCTGTACTAGAGATTAATATAATATCCATTCTAGTATATTCAGCTCCTCAAGGGCTCTAAGGAAAAAAGATCTTTTACATACATTATCCCAACAGTGGTTGTGGGGAGTGGAAGAGGGTTAGAAATCTAAGTGAATACTGACCCTGCACCAAGATGAAACATTCCTGCCTCTAGCAAGGGCTCATTTTAGCTCTAGTTGTTGTTACTATTCTCTCTGAAAAATGGCAGTGTATTAAGTGGTTAAGTCCATGGACTTTGTAGTTAGTCAGACCAGGGTTAATCCAGGCCTCAACCATTTACAGGCAGTGAGATTTTCAGCAAACCTCAGCTTCTTTGAGGCTCAAATTCCTTAAAAACAGAAAAGGTTGTTGTGGAAAATTAAGTAAATACTAAGTTTATGAAAAATACTTAGCACACAGTAAAAACAAAAAAAAACACACACACACACAATAAAGAGGGGAGGTCCTAGCAGTTGGTACCAAAATAGAAATCAATAAATTATACTGAGCTAATCATTTTGTTATTCCAATTGATAGTGATCTATGCTTAATTTATTTGCATCCATCCTATCTCACCCATCCCTAGAGATCAACTACTTTATAATCCTAAGGCTGGACTGTAATTACCTGAGCTTTTCCTTTTTTTTAAGATTTCTAATAGTCCCAATTTTACACTAGCTGAGAGAATACAGTCTACCCTCTCTGAATGTCCATGTTAGAACCCTAAGAAAGGTACTAAACTCCAACCACTAAAAAGAGACCCCTCATCTGGAACACAAGACCACTACTACCTTATTCACATAACAAAGAAACCAACAGTATATAAGAGGCAAACAAGGAAAGAAAAATCTGCACCACTCATACTTACTTGTCATCATTTTTTACCCCAAAACCAAAATCAGAAAATCAAAAATTAAAAAACAAAAGATTTACTTATCCACACTCCTTACTATAATTTCTGAAAGAACCAGTGGAGATGAGGTAAAAGGCAAATCTTCCATCTTATCACCCAAAAGGCTCTATATACCACACACCAGCCAAAACAATGCCTTAGTTCGTGGAAACAGTCCTGGACACTAGTTAACTAGGATGCTCATTGCAGCTACACAAAGCCCAGTATTTAAAGCCAGATCCAAATCACCACCACTCAGTCATCCAGAACCTATTTTCAAACTGCCTTTGTACTCCTCCTTCGGATTCCCTCATCCCTCCCCCTAAAGGTTGAGTGGGAAACCGACACTCGGCAGCAACATGACCAGCCCTCCAAAGATCCACCAAGAAATCTCCCTAGGCTGGAATCAAGGCAGAGAGAACATTTTGAAAGAAAATTTGGTAAATATTAAACTACAGCTCAACAGACTGTACACATTGTATTTTTTTCTTTTTTTACTGTACTTGCTATAATTACGAGATCCAGACATCAAAAATTTCCTGCACCCTTCCCTAGATTATAATAAAAGGAGGAACAAAGTTCTGTTTCCTCCTGAAGCCAGAACCTCACAAGGATGAAATCATCTTTCAAGAAATACCCTTACTCTAGAAAAGAAATTCAAGGACGTCTTCTAGTCTAAAAAAAAAATGGGAGAGAAGGCACAAAAATCAAAGGATTATTAAAGATACATACCAGTTTAAAGCTAATGAGCAGCTTACACATTAAGGCCCATCTTGTTACAATTAGGGCAGTATCTACTCCAGCTATAATTTTCAGACCGATTCGCATTTTCAAAAGGAGAAGAAAGAGAATACCCCAGTTTTCAGCTACTGATGAGTTGGCTATATAATTATCTGAAATCAGTACTTTTGCAAAAATGCATTTGCAAAAACAAATCTTAAGATTAAATATAAGATACAAAAGCACAGTCATGAGCCTTCAGCTCTAACAGATTTGATTTCATGGAAAATTAAACAAAAAACTCACCTCCAAAAAACAACTTTCAACTTTTTATTTTTAAAAATAAAAATTTCCCTTGTATCTTCTCAAATGCGTTGTAAACACTAAAGTTTCTATAAGTAGTTTCTCTAAACCTAATCTTAGTCCACCCATGGCCCTTTCAGGTGTGTTGCCACTTTACTCAGGTGAAATAAAAGCATGATTAGAATTTCCTTATGGGGAGGGCGCGGAGAGAAAAAAAAAAGAATTTCCTTATCCCTTTAAGCACATAAACCAAATGCTATGTATTTGCAGATTTAACATACAACACCTCTACAAATCTTTACCACCAGAGGTACTTTTAGGAGGAAGAAGGGGATGGCAATTCAGTTAACATAGATCCATTTGTTTTCTTTTATAAGGCAAAGCAGGGAGGCTACGTCTAGCAGGAGAATGAGGCTCCCACCCATTGCACCTGGAAAAGTAAAAGAGGGATCCACCCAGGAACAGCAGGCTGAAACCGATCTGGGCCGTTCAAACTCTCTAGAGGAAAAAAATAATACCATTTAAGCTGTAAAGCTCCCTGCAACTTTCCACTTCCACGAATCCAATGATAAAAGGAAAAAAAAAAGTTTTGAAACATATGAAGAACCATCTGTATAACTAGCTTCCGATCCGGACAAATTCCTTTCCCAACCCACACGCAACATGCCAAAAACCCAACTTTTGATTTGGCCTCTGAAAACAGAAGGACGTTAGCTTAATCCAGAAAAAAACGTAAAATCAAAGAACACACCAAAATGTAAATTTACACAACTGTTCTTACCCCTGTGTAAGAATCTATTCAGCTTCCTGTATTAAAGAGACCTAGAAGTTTGTTTCTAGGTCTTGAGTATTTTACCTTTTTTTAATATAATAAAATACCAAAATCCCCCCAAAGTATTGAAAGTGGAAAGAAAAAAATAATTGCTTAAAAGTCACCCACCAGCATAACAGACTCTCTCCCGTTTTAAATTCCCTCCGGTTACCGTAAGACAAAAATTCAACTTGGCTTATCCTCCTTTGCCCGTCTGTACACACATTTTTTAAAAAGGCACACACCTCAAACGTGGACTTCAAAAAACCAGTCCTTTAAGAAAGAAACCCAAGGCTTCGCCAATGTGCTGAGAAAGACAAATCCAGCAGGGCAGTTGATTTTTCGCCACCTCTTCCTCCTTTCAGGATCTTTCCTGCTCTTCTTTCTCTCTCTCCCTCTCTCTTTTTTTTTCCCCTCAGATCCAACACCTAAAATGGAAGTTGCACCCAGCCAAAGGCAAGGGAGCCTGGGTGGTGACAAACTGATCTGGCAGCCCTACCCCCTCGCTTTCCTAAGTGATGTCAGCCCCTGTGAGCTTCCAATAGGAGCCAGGCATAAATCAGGGAGCTGACCTTATCCAATAGGAAACTTTATTATAAGAAATTAAAAAAAAGAGAGAGAGGAGGAGAAAAAGAGACAGGGGGAAGTTTTATATATATTTATATTTAAAGCGGAGGCTGTACAGTCTCTGAGGAATTACTGCAGAGCTGGGGATAGAGGGCGTCAAGAAACAAGAGCTTTTTAGAATGGCACACCTAAGCCTCAATTCTCTTTGATGGAGGGTTCTTGCTCCCTCTCCTGTCCTATCCCGGTGGGGAAACAGAAAAGAGCTGATTTTATTTGCCTGCTGCTGTTTGGCTTGTTGCTTGCTACCCCAAAGCACTTTCCCAAAGGAAGACAGGAAGGGAAGGAGAGAGAAATCCTAGAAACAGGACTACTGTGTGTTGATTGGTATGGTAGGGGCTATCTGAGGTAAACTCTCAATTTCATTGTTTTGGTTTAATTGCATTAGAGCTAATTATAAAAAAGAAATGCCTAGACTTGTTAACAGTTTTTAGCATCTATGCTCTGAACTAGAAGGAAACAAAATTCATTAGGCTGTTGAGGAAAATCACTGTCTTCCCATTTGTCCCCAAATCAAAATAATGTGGGTTTGTGGGGGAGAGGAAATGGAATCCAATAAACAAGCGATATATTCAGAAGGGATAACAGCATGGGTAAGGACAAGTAAATCTCACATCAAGAAAATTTTATTTCTTTGTGAACTTCAAGCTTAAGATGATATAGTTCATACATTCTCTTTTTACTTTTGACCTAAATAAAGGATTATCAGGATATTCTTTTTCTGAGTTAAGAAATATTAATATTTTTAATATGTTCTTAAACCATGAAGGACAGGGGTCGGATTTTTTTTTACATGCTTGACAAAGACTAGTACTTTATGGTTATTCACTGATTACTAAAACAAAGATGAGTTGAAGATGTCTTTTTTTTTTTTTGAGGAATCTAAAACCTACCCTGTAGACTGCTGCCAAATGAGTCTTCACAAAGTTTTCATGCTCTGCTATAGTGCTTAAGAGCATAGGTTTTGCAGTCAGACTGCCTGGCTTCAAACTTCATCTCTGTAAGTACACACACTCAAATATATGTACTACTATATGACCTTGGCCAAATTAAATAATCTCTCTGAGCCTCAGTTTCCTTAATTATAAAATAGAGATAACTATATCTCTCTCACAAGACTGTTGTGAGAATTAAAATATACATCAAGTTCTTAAAACAATATATGGCATATAGTATAAATTAAGAATGAATTATTATTATTTTTACCCTGCCCCAGAACTTTCAGTGGCTCATCACTGCCCAATAATAGCAACCAATGATAGAGTGTCTACCATGTGAAAGGCATTTTGGGCTCATTATGTCTAATTTCTAAAACATCACCATGGAAATAGTATTACCACCACTTTACAGATGAGGAAATCAAAGCTCAACAAGGTGAAGAAACCTGCCTGAGCTCATCTGGCTAAGAAGTGAAGTGAATTCTTCATCAATCTGACTCCTAAGCCCATGCTCTTTCCATGACCTTACTCTGTGGTCAGGAAAAAGGCTAAACAACTCGTCTGCTTTCAAGGTACCACATTTATTCACTTGATACATTAAAGTAACACTTATTAACCATAATATGACTTTTCCTTACCTATCCAAACTGGAATTCCACTTCTCCTCAGCATGCATGTGCCCTTTTAATCATGCTGATTTAGTCATTATCCACTCCCTCATATGGCCTATAGTGGCCAAAAGAACTTCTCTCAGAAGTGCTGACAAACCAAATAGGCATCTCAGCACTTGTTTGATAGGCTTTAAACAAACTAGAATGGGAAATGAACATATAAAAACAAAGATGTGAACAGCCTTTAAGGTCTCATTACCTAAGAGTCTTCTCCCATTACTTTATCACATCTTCTACCTCTATTCTCCATCTATTCCTGGTTCTCTATAGCAAGTTCAAAAGCCAAAGATAATTGCCAAAGGAAAGCAATCAGCACAAGAAATGTTTGTTCCTAGATCAAAGCCACATTCTAGAATGTTCTACAAATTTCTAGAGATGGATTTGTCATTTGTCTTGTTTCCTTCATGTCACTGCTCACGACTTGCACTTTGCCTTCCTTTTTCTTTAGTTTTTGTTCGTATGTATATATTTCTGTCTCCCCCACAAGAAGATAAACTCCATGAAGGCATGAACAGTGTCTTTCTTGTTCATGGTGTGTCTACAGAGCTTTACTTAATCTTATATCTCATTTTAGCAACAGCTGAATAAGTGAATGAGGTCTCTTTGCTTGCTAATTATGTAATCCTGGTCAAGTCATTTAACATTAATGAATCTGTAAACATTCAAGTTAGAATTATATACACGCCTGTAATCCTAGCTCTCTGGGAGGCCGAGGCGGGCGGATTGTTTGAGCTCGGGAAGTTCAAGACCAGCCTGAGCAAGAGCGAGACCCTGCCTCTACTAAAATTAGAAAGAAATTAATCGGACAACTAAAAATATATAGAAAAAATTAGCTAGGCGTGGTGTTGCCTGCCTGTTGTCCTAGCTACCGGGGAGGCTGAAGCAGGAGAATCACTTGAGCCCAGAAGTCTGAGGTTGCTGTGAGGTAGGCTGACGCCACGGCACTCACGCTAGCCAGGGCAACACAGTGAGACTCTGTCTCAAAAAAAAAAAAAAAAAAAAAAAGTTAGAATTATATACAAATCAAAAAAGATAACTCAGTAGTGAAAAGTATGTTAAATTTTAAATTTATCTGAAACAGTTATCTCAAAATAAAGCATCACAAGCATTAAAACTTACTGACTGAGGGAAAAACTGCTTACACTCATTCAACAGAAAATAAAAAGACTAGTTCCACTTGGGTTATTTTGAGTGCTGTGAGCCAAGTACTCTACTAGATGTCAAGGATAACAAGATAGGCTGGGCGCTGTGGCTCACGCCTGTAATCCTAGCACTCTGGGAGGCTGAGGAGGGAGTATCCCTTGAGCTCAGGAGTTTGAGACCAGCCTGAGCAAGAACAAGACCCTGTCTCTGCTAAAAATAGAAAAAATTAGCTAGGCGTGGTGTTGCCTGCCTGTTGTCCTAGCTACCGGGGAGGCTGAAGCAGGAGAATCACTTGAGCCCAGAAGTCTGAGGTTGCTGTGAGGTAGGCTGACGCCACGGCACTGTAGCCCGGACAACAAAGCAAGACTCTGTCTCAAAAAAAAGGATAACAAGATAGGCAAGTTTCCTATTCTCATAGATCTTAACTTCTAGGGGAGAAAAAGAAGAACAATAAATATATGTCAGGTGGAGCACTATGTAGATTGAAAACAGATTAATAAGAATGACTTGTGGCTTGCTCCAGATCAGATGTCAGGGACAAACTCTCTGGAGAGGTGACATTTAAATTGAAATCAGAATAGTAAGAAGCTGCCAACCATGAAAAGATACGAGCTGGAAGGTGAGAGGCTGAAACATACTGGACCCAGAAGAGGGTGTTAGGAATGAGGATGGAAGGATACGTGAGAATCAGAATATGAATGGTTCTACAGGTCAGAGGAGTTTAGATTTTTATTCTTAGGTAGAGGAAAGCTAGAGGAAAGCCTTTGGGGTTTTTAAACAGAATGACATGATCACATTTTGAAAAGATCTGATAAATGGATTTATGCAAAAATGGATTAAAGAGTGGCAAGAATGAAAGCAAGACTAGTTTGAAGGTTATTATTGCACTAGTCAAGTTACAGTGATAGAGACTTGGATTAGGGCAGCAGTGAAAATGGAGAGAATCCTTGGAGGTTGACAGAGATTAAAAAATAAAGAAAAATGGAGAGAAGTCAATAGATTGAAGATATGTTTTAGATATACATGATTTTGTATTTTTTCTTTGTTTTGTTTTTATGCATGGAATATTACATTCAGTGCTCAGTTTTACAACCCTCAAATTTTAACTTCCCACCAACAACCATTACCACATACAAATACAGAAAAACAAGATACCATAAAATGATGAAAGATCAGGGGAAAAGTGAGAGAGGGAAAAAAACATGTGTTATAAAAAAATATTAAAATTATTATATAGGGCAGAGTGCTGTACTGGGATGTTTCTAGTTCTAAAATAAGACTAAACTCTAAGTGCCAAAGAGAAGCAATGAAAAATATTCAACTCCAGAAAAACACTGGCTATCAGCCGGGCGCCGTGGCTCACGCCTGTAATCCTAGCTCTCTGGGAGGCCGAGGCGGGCGGATTGTTTGAGCTCAGGAGTTCAAGACCAGCCTGAGCAAGAGCGAGACCCCATCTTTACTAAAATTAAAAAGAAATTAATTGGACAACTAAAAATATATAGAAAAAATTAGCCGGGCATGGTGGCGCATGCCTGTAGTCCCAGCTACTCGGGAGGCTGAGGCAGAAGGATCGCTTGAGCGCAGGAGTTTGAGGTTGCTGTGAGCTAGGATGACGCCATGGCACTCTAGCCCAGGCAACATAGTGAGACTCTGTCTCAAAAAAAAAAAAAAACTGGCTATCCATACAAAGAAAAACAAAATATTTTTACTCTTTCTACCCTCTGGTGGCTACACATTATCATCCGAAGTCTGTCATTTTTGAAGCCCTGGGTACAATGGCCATTTATCATTCCCTTTAGAAATTCTGCTAACACAAGATTTAACTAAAATGGTGTTGGTTTTAAAAAAAACAAAACAAGGAGTCCTCTCTACTTCTTGAAAATTAATTTAATCCTAATGGCAATATATTAATGAAGGGGTATATTTATATTTTCCTTACACCTCTGCAGAGCCATCTATACTGGTACTTCACCTTTTCAATCAAGTCTTGATTCTACAGTAACAGATGCCAAAAACAAGCATTGTTCTGCCTTCTCTTTTGCTTTCCTTGCTTGTTCGCTTCCTTGCTTGCTCGTGTGCTGCTGACATCTAAAATCTGTCCTCCCTCTACTAAGTTTTACGTCCTTTCACGAACTGTTTCCTCTTCAAAATAAGACAACTGCAACCAAAAATGTCTTCTGTTCCTTGTTTCTTTTTCCATCTTAACAGCAGAGGCTTCAAACTAGGGAGACTAGTACCTCACTTGGAAATACGCTCTTCGCACAACCATTTCAGTCAACCACCTCAAATCCTTTTTGAAATGGTGTTGGATATCCATGAAGACATATTTGAGCCCACTACTCACCCTTTTACGTTTTGTCCCTTTGCAGGCTTCCCTTCTCTTAGGCATCTTCCTTCCTTTCTAACTCCAGTTGGCCGCAGCAGGCACTGCTCCGTTTCAACTCACCATACTTTGTCACCAGCGGCTTTGGATTCAGCCATTCTCGCTCCGAGCTGGACATCACTGAACATCTACGGAGAGGCAGTAACCCAAGCCAGGGCCCAGGTCCTAATGCACACAGGGCAAAGAACCGCCGTCCAGATTTATAACGTGGGTTGGCATTCTCCGTAAACATTTAATCTCGAGATTGCTTAATTTTTAGTATCATCCCTGATAACAGCTGTTCCCAGTCAGGAAACGCTAAATAAATTATCTCTGGAAGGACACGGGAGACCGTCCCAGGGAGCAATTTCTGCAACCTCTTTGGATCCCCAGTCCTCCGAGGTTCAGGGTTGGAGTGGAATCAGTGAAGAAACTGAATTTAGAAACTATCCCAAGGACCTTACTCCAGAACATTTCTGGCCTTAGGCGGTATCTAGATTAGAAATATGGGGGCAAGGTGTGAGTAGGGCCATCTAAAGGCTCCTTCCTCCATGAAGCCTTCAGTGTTCTTAGGAGGGCCAAGGCCATTTGCAGCCCCTTCAAGAGGAAGACGGAAGGTCCTTCAACGGCCTTGGGGCCTGCCCCCATTAGAGTGTCCCTATCCTTTTTTCGGTATGTTTTCACCGAGGGCTCAGAGAGAAGATAACTTCCGTACGAATTCCTCCCCCATGGGCCCTCCCCCTCTACCTCCGGCAGCCCAACCATCTTCCCTCAGCCCTCAAGTCCCTCGAGACTTAGCCTCCCGCCTGGAGCTCCCCTCCTCCTCTGATTGGTCCTCCCGTGAGCCTTCGGCCAATGGGGATGACGTATTCAGGCAGACATAGGCCCGAGAGCTCCCGGGGAGGAGGAAGGACGTCGGGCCCCGCGACGCGGTGGTGCGCGAGGTGTGTGGTGCGGCCGCGAGGCCTCAGGTCCTCGCTGTCTACACCGCCCATTGCACGCGGGTGCCAGGGCCAGAGAAGGTACAAGGGCGCCAGGGAGTGCCTGCAAAGCCCGTACCGCCAGAAGCCGCCGTGAGGGCGAATCCTCACATCGGGCCTCCAGGATCCACACGCTCCATTCCCAGAAACCTTCGCGCCGAGAGGTCTCTCTTCAAAGGAGTTGGGCCGGGCGGCCGGAACGTGTGGGGTACAGCTTTGCAGGGGCCTTCCCTGAAGCCGTGCTTTCTCCGCCAACCGCGATTCCCTTGATCCTGGACAGGGAGGAAAACCGCTCAGGCCGTTGGCCCACCTGCGCTGCTTTGCTTAACCTCTCGTCACGAGGCAGGACATTGGGAGGAAGCAAGGCAGCCTGGACAGAGGACCCAAGCATAGAGAGGACAACAGGAGCAAACCCTACTGCAGAGTTATTCCAGGTTGGGTCTGGGGGCAAGGCCAAGCGCTGGTGGATTGGGAAGCTTCCCCAGGGCCCTTGCAACAGCTGCCATTCTCCATCCAAGTCTTTCTGGCTGGGATCGGAATTGAGCCTGCCTTTTTTAAATTTACCTTTCCGCTCTTTTCTTTCCTGATAGTTTTGACGTGAACTATTTGGACCCTCAGTGCCACCTGACAGAAAACTGCATGCCAAGAAAGGAACACAGCTGTGCAGTGAGTGTGGGGGTCTCAGTGCAAAAAAGCTGGACGGGTAGTAAGCCTGAAGTCAGAATATCCAGTTTGTTTGGGGAGGGGTGGAATGCTTAACTATCCTTGTTCCACTGTTGTTAGCCAGGTAATTAAGCAGACAGATAAACTTAGAGGCCACATTCCTTGCCAACTTCCAGAGTCAGTCAGGCTCACTTTGGTCAAGTACATCAGAGCCCAGGATGGCGATGTCTTCCTTATTTCTGTGAGAGACCTTCCCACCAGATCCAAATTCTTCTCCTCTTTATTGTGCACCCTCTGCTGGTTAGTGTGATAGAATGAACTCAGAGAAAAGAAGATGCATATGACTTCCTAGAGATAATTTTATACCAAGTCTGTTTCTTTCAAAATGTAAAATTGAAAATTATACCCATGGAACTGGGATGTGGTGCTCAGAAAGAATATAGTAGTCAGCACAGTAGCAGTTGAGTCTCAGTGGTAATGTGAATGAGGAAGGTTGAAGGAGGATAGTAATAATAATAATAGCTACCGTTTGGGGGTCGGTAATTATTTTGTGCTAGGTAGTCACTGTGCTAAGCAATTTTACCTGCATTGACTCATTTAATCTTCAGAACAGCCCTACGAGGTAAGTACATCATTCCCATTTCATGGATGAGGAAAATACTCAGAGAAGTTAAGTCACCTGCATGAGATTATATAGCTAGGCTAATCAACAGAGCTGAGATTCAAGCCTAGGCTTATCTCTGAGCTCCCACATATAACCACTATGATGATTTTCTTTCTCGAGATACCCTTGGCACGATTTGTAGGCTGCTGTTTCCTCAACTCATACTATTATCTCTCACTTTCAAAATTTCCCTGCCATTTCAAAGACAAAAAAACAAATTAGTTATAACTGTACCTCTGAAATGTATTATCTCACCTACAGGAATCTGATCCGTGAAACCTAGGTTTGTTAAGAGACTACCAACATGTGCTCTCCTGCCAGTCCCAAAATCCTATACAGGAACCCCCGGTTACTCCGGTTAGCTTTTCTGCAGCTTCATCACCAGCAGCAGAGTGGTGTGTTCTGTGATGTCCTTCTGCAGGCAGAAGGTAAGAAGACTGGCAGGAACTCAACTGAAAACTCACCATAGAATATGATAAAATGAGTTTAGGGCCAGGGGGTAAAGGACAAAACCAGGAAAATGTTACTGCCTTTGACCACTGGGAACTGTTTGATAAAGAGCTGTTTGTTTCTAGGACAGTTACTAACTGTTTTCAAAGGTGAAATCGTGACTGTGCTTCTTTCTTTTAAAAAATGAAACTAATTGTAAAATTTTGTAAGCACAGAAATTTTATAAAACATGGATAATATTCTGGCCAGGCATGGTGGCTCACGCCTGTAATCCTAGCATTCTGGGAGGCTGAGGCAGGAGGATCGCTTGAGGTGGGGAGTTGGAGACCAGCCTGAGCAAGAGCAAGACCCTGTCTCTACTAAAAGTAGAAAAAGTTAGCTGAGTGACTAAAAATAGAAAAAAAATTAGCTGGCTGTGGTAGCATGTGTCTGTAGTCCCAGCTACTTGGGAGGCTGAGGCAGGAGGATTGCTTAAGCCCAAGAGTTTTGAGGTTGCTGTGAGCTAGGGTGATGCCACGGCACTGTAGCCCAGATGACAGAGCAAGACCCTATTTCAGGTCAGGAGTGGTGGCTCACACCTATAATCCTAGCACTCTGGGAGGCCGAGGTGGGTGGATCATTTGAGCTCAGAAGTTTGAAACCAGCCTGAGTAAGAGCGAGACCCCGTCTCTACTAAAAAAATAAAAAGAAATTAGCTGGACAACTAAAAATATATAGAAAAAAATTTAGCTGGGCATGGTGGCACATGCCTGTAGTCCCAGGTACTCAGAAGGCTGAGACAGAAGGATGGCTTGAGCCCAGGAGTTTGAAGTTGCTGTGAGCTGAGCTGATGCCACAGCACTCTAGCCCAGCAATAGAGTGAGACTCTGTCTCAATAAAAACAAACAAACAAACAAACAAACAAACAAAACCATGGATAATATTCTAATGGGATGATCAAGAAGATTGAGTTAACATATGTTAAGTACTTAGAACAGCGCTTTTAATATACTAACGACAATGTTTTAGATGACACATTACATATTTTCCCATTTTCTTGCCAAGCTATTGCTTGATTTTATTTATCTCATATTGATGATTTTTGTTGTTTGCTATTAGAACTAAAAATGTATAGCTTATTTCCACCCCTTCCCTTCACACTGGAAATGTTAAATCAGGATGAAGTAGACCCTAGTATAATGCAAAAGGCCCAAGATTAGGAGTCAGAGGCCCAGAGTTTTTTAGGTTTGTTACTTAGTAAGTAAGTGTCAAATAGGGCAAGGAACTTCATCTCCCCTGGGGCTCAGTTTTTTCATTTATAAAAAAATATGACAACCAACACTGTGTAGCACTCTACGGTTTGCAGAGGACACATAGTATAGTGTCTTATTTGATTCTAACAGCCTTGTGAAATAAGTAATAGTTATCTGGTTCCAATTCTACAGATTAGTGAATTGAAGCTTACAGTTAAGTGACTTGCCTGTTAGTTCTCTTAGTGAGGAGCTGAGATTGATTCTTTAATTCAAAATAAACAAAAAAGTGTCAGTTGCCTTTTGTATGCTAAACATTGTGCTAGCTTGGGCATACAGTATTTATTAAGATAAAATCCCTGCTCTTAAGGAAATCTTGTAAGGGGGAAACATTCAAATGTCCAATGTGTTCAGTATATTAAAAATATAATTGGATAAGTATAGGCTGCCTTAGCATAAAAGAGGAGCATCCTTCACAGACTTGGGCAGGCTGGGGAACAAGGGTTAGAGAACTTTTCTTGGAGGAAATAACCCCTTAGGTGAGATCTGAAGGACAAACAGAAGTAGGAGGAAATAAAGAAAGATTTTTCCAGGTGGAGAGAACAGCATGTGCGGAAGTTCAGAGATGTGACCAGGGTTTTGTAAATTGTTCATTATGGCTAGAGCACAGACCATACACGGTGTACTGGCCAGAGAAGAATAGAAAAATCAGCAATCTTATTAGGTCTGAAGTATCATGCAAAGAAAGTAGGTCTTTGGCCAGGCATGGTGGCTCACGCCTGTAATGCTAGCTCTCTGGAAGGCCAAGGCAGCAGTATTGCTTGAGGTCAGGAGTTCAAGACCAGCCTGAGCAAGAGCCAGACCCCATCTCTACTAAAAACAGAAAAAATTAGTTGGGTGTCGTGCCGTGCACCTGTAGTTCCAGCTACTCGGGAGGCTGAGGCAAGAGGATCACTTGAGCCCAGGAGTTTGAGGTTGCTGTGATCTCAGCTGACGCCATCATGCTCTACTCAGGGCAACAGAGTGAGACTCTGTCTCAAAAAAAAAAAAGAAAGAGGGCCGGGCGCGGTGGCTCACGGCTGTAATCCTAGCACTCTGGGAGGCCGAGGCGGGTGGCTCGTTCTGAGCTCAGGAGTTCGAGACCAGCCTGAGCAAGAGCGAGATCCCATCTCTACCAAAAATAGAAAGAAATTAACTGGACAGCTAAAAATATATATAGAAAAAATTAGCTGGGCATGGTGGCGCGTGCCTGTAGTCCCAGCTACTCGGGAGGCTGAGACAGTAGGATTGCTTGAGCCCAGGAGTTTGAGGTTGCTGTGAGCTAGGCTGATGCCACGGCACTCACCCCAGGCAAGAGAGTGAGACTCTGTCTCAAAAAAAAGAAAGTAGGTCTTGTTCACAGGACACTGGGAAACATATTGAACAGTTTTAAGCAGAAGGTCATGATCAGATACCTGCTTTAGAAACAACACTCGGGATGCATTAAGAATTACTGGACGGTTATTGAGCCCAGGTAGGAGACTGTTTTTTTGTAATCCAAGAGAGAGGAGATGGTGGCCTGAACTAAGGCATTGAGAATAGAGAGAAATGAATAACTATTGAAGAAAATTTACAAAACTTCCTGAAGTAGTTAGGAGCATAGACTCTGTAGCCAGACTTTCCAGGTTCAAATCTTATCCCTCCTAACTTACTATGTCATGTAGGTATGTTACTTAACTATGTCTCAATTTATTCATCTATTATAATATTAGCTACTTTACAGGTTGCAGTGAAGATTAAATGAATTAATACTGGTAAAACTCTAAGATCAATAAGACACATAATCAGAACTCAAAAATATTAGCTTTAAAAAAACCTGATATTTGATTGGATGTGGTGGGTAAGGGAGAAAAGAATCAAAGATGATTTCTAGTTTTCAGGCTTGGACAACCAGGTGAATGTGATACCTTATTTTGAAGCAGAAAATAGGGGAGGCTTTGGAGGGTAGGGAATGATGAGTTCATTTTCTGGAAAAGTTGCACTGGAAGTGGTTGTGAGGCATACATGTAGACACGTAGGCTGTGGCACGTTTACTGTCTCAGGAAAGATATCTAGGCGGAGTTATGGATCTGGGAGTCAGCAGCAAGCCTTTGGTAATTGAAACCATGGGAGAGACGAAGCGAGATTGCCTTGGAAGTGTCCATAAAATGAGGTGGCTCAGAACAGACCACTGCCTGGTAGGCAGTGGCTAGAGCTCAGCAGAACTGAACTGATTGTCGACCTCCAGAGCTCATGCTCTTTCTGTTAGACCACAAGCTGCTTCTATAAAATTTTTTGAATTCTCTTGAGTGAATAAAACTTACTCAGCAAGTATTTGATTCTCTACTTTGTGTCAAGCACTGAATATACCTCAGTGAGCAAGACAGGCATTGTCCCTATCCTCAGAGTTTACAATCTAGTGAAGGAGATGGACAATTACAATACAGATAGGTAAGTGCTATGATAGCTAGTGAGTGCCTCTCTGTGCCCAGAAGCACTAACCCAGACTTGTGGCAGGGTGAAAGAAGGCTTTCTTAAGGAAGTGATGTCTCAGCTAGATTATGAGGATAAAGAAACGAGTTAGCTAGGCAAAGGTAATGGCAAAAGGTTCCAGGCAGGCAAAAGGAACAGATCTCTCCTTTTACTTGAAGTTCCATAGAAGGAAAATGAGAATGGGCAGGGCTGGGGCGCAGTGGCTCATGCCTGTAATCCTGAAACCTTGGGAGGCCATCCTGAAGGTGGGAGGATCACTTGAGCCCAGGAGTTCGAGGTTACAGTGACCTATACACTCCAGCCTGGGCAGCAGAGAGAGATCCTGTCTCTAAAAATAAATAAATATGTAAGTAAATATAAATTTAAAAATATACAAATAAAAATAAATAAGGGTACATTTGGGTAGTTAATGTCTATGCTTAGCCCGTGAACATGCCAGTCTACGTGAGATAACAAAAGTGTTTGGATTTCTCTCCAGGTGAAGCAGTCCCAGCCCACTGCTGCATCCTGTCAGCCTGCAGCCCCTTCTTCACAGAGCGCCTGGAACGAGAGAGGCCAGCTCAGGATCGGAAGGTGGTACTGGAGCTTGGGGGCCTGAAGATCAGGACACTTAGGAAGCTGGTGGACTTCCTGTATACTTCAGAGATGGAAGTATCTCAAGAGGAAGCCCAGGATGTGCTTTCTGCTGCCCGTCAGCTCCGTGTATCTGAGCTAGAGTCCCTTCAGCTAGAGGGTGGAAAGTTGGTGAAGGCCCCACAGGGCCGAAGATTGAATCGAGAGTGCTTACAACCACCGACTGCTGCACCAATCTCTGCCAGAGTGGTGGTACCAAACCGCCACCCTCGAACTCCACTGCCTACCACCCAGACTCCCTGTCCTCTTGGGGCAGTGAGATTGAAGTCTTTGGGAAAAGAGGGGCGCCAGGAGAAAAATAACCGACAGAATACAGGTAACTTATCTGGTACTCTTCTGCTTAAGAGGAAGGCCAGAACCTGCCCAACTCCACAAGAAAAAGGCTCTTCAAGCCACAGTCAGGGGCCTAAGGAGAACAAGAATGACCCTGCTGTTGGTCCTACAGCACTTTCCCCACCCAGCTTGTACCCGTCTGTGGATGAGCGACTATTACCCAGAAAGATCAGGCTAAGTCGCTCAAAGCCATCTCCTGAAATCTGTGCATTGAATCCTTCTAGCATTTTAAGTGGACCCAGCTCAGTGCCTACAGCCCCTGGCCGGCGTCTTTGGCGGCAGAGGAGTATAAATAAAGAAGCACCAGAGGACAAGCAGAAACCAGGGAGAGCTAGTCCTCTACAAAGCACCCCAAGCCCATGTGGTCTTGGGAAGACAGGTGGGAACAAGAAGCGGAGCCCTGAAGTCAAGGCACCTAACTCAGAGTCTGCAGAGGAGGGGCAGGTTGGGAGAGTGAAACTTCGGAAAACTGTCAACGGGACTTGCTGGGAGGTGGTACAAGAGCCTCCCCTCAAAAACTCTCAAAATAGCCCCCAGCTCCCAGAACCTGGGGGAGACTTAGAAGAGTCTTCAGGGACTCAGTCATCCTCAGTTAAAGGGCAGGAAGTGTCATCTGCTACAATAGAACTGTGTCAGGACTCTCCTGCGTGCTCGAGGCTACAAGACATTCTGCTTTCTGCTAGCCACTCCCCAGACCACCCAGTGGCCAAGTCCAAGTTTGGGTCCAGTCCAGAGCTGGTAGGGAAGGAACCGGTGTTGGATACTGACTGCAGAGAGCCCTATGCCTTTGACACAGCCCTACTGGGACAGCCTTGTGAAGCTGAGGAGTACCGAATCACCAGTGCTGCTGCCACCAGTGAGCTGGAAGAGATCCTGGACTTCATGCTCTGTGGCTCAGACATTGAGCCACCTATAGGGTCTCTGGAGAGTCCTGAGGCTGAGGGCTGCAGAAGCCCTAGTTACCACCTGACAGAAACAGGAAAGAACTGGATTGAAGGGGAAGAATGGTGTTTGCCAGACCTGGAACTCTGGCCTAGGGAGCTCACAGGATTGGAAAAGGAACCTGTTGTTGAGAACAAAGAGCCAATTGAGCCCCTTAGCCCCCTTGTCATGTCCTCTGAGAACAAAGAGCCAGTTGAGCCCCTTAGCCCTCTTGTCATGCATTCTGAGATGAGTGAAGGAGAGGTGCTTTCAGTGGGAGGCTCTTGGACTCCAGAACTTGAAATTACCAGCTCCCAGCCACTGGATGGTCAGGGAGACAAACTTCTCCACGTTGACTCACTTGACCCTCCCCAAAGGTCTTATGAGGACCTCTCACCTCCCGGCTCAAACTGGGTGGAGGATGGGCTGGAAGTGTCCCTAACTATGGATGAGGTATTATATCCTGCTACAGAGGCAGGCAAGGAGGTATTTGGAAATTCTGAGCTACTAGGCCCACTTCCCATCAGCTCTGAAGAGGAAGAGATTGATGTGGTGGACTGGACAACAGAGGGGAAGCTAGTGCCCACTAGTATTCCTTCTGTATGGCCTGACCCTTCCTCAGAGTCAGAAACAGAGGTAGATATACTAACGTAGTGGAGGGGGTTAGGGGCCCTGGGCAGGTAGTAAGTGTTGGCTAGCAAAAGGCTTATTGACAGAGAAGCTAGCACATGCTGCTCTCTCCTCTTGGCACAAGAGGCAGGTGTACCGTTGGCTATTTGTAGGTCCCTTCCTCACCTCCCCAAGCGTTGGGAATCAAGCAGAAGTTAAGGAGTACCATGAGTAGAAAATTATGACTTGAACCGTCTTATTTCTTCGTAATCTATTTTCCAGTTAGTGACAAGTGAAACAATAAACCGTGTGGTCCCCAATTCTAGTGAGTCATAGATAACAGCCAAGGCCAGGCCTCTCAGGTCATGAGACCTCTAGTCACTGTTAATTCAGGAAAAGCTGCAAACACCAAGGGGTTCTCTGTAAGAGAAAATGTTCCAGAAGAAGGTATGAAGCAGTGATGGGCAGAACACTAAGTGGGTGGGACTGATGAAGTCTTGTCAGGTACCTAATGTGTGTGGGGCTTATTCATTGCCAGTATGTAAAGTCTAGCTAAAACCTCTGCAGAGGCCAGGAAGATGTACTTCCATCATCACTTCCAAGAAGTGAGTTGAAAAAGATAAGAGTTGTTTTTTAAAAAAATAAATGATTTACTCCCATAGTTTTCACAAGTATTTCACATGCTTTACCAAGTCAAATGGCCACCTTGGGCCGTAAAAAATACAAGGACTACCAACCACATAAAGCTGGCTTTGTCCGTCTCTTAACATATATGTTTTACTCTATTACTCAAATAGTTTATTTCAACTTTTATTAAAAACAAACCAATTCCAGTAACTTTTCCAATGCCTTATTAGAGGGTTGCCTCACATCTGAACCATCATTTCTGGAGGGGAAGAAACCATGGCTTCAGGCACATGACTGAAGTTTGGCCATGTCCCGTCATAAATGCTCCAACATCACCAGGGACAGAAAGCTGCAAGAAAGAGGGGAAAGGAGGTTAGAGAAAGGATCCAGGCAATCAAGGATAGAGGAAGACATTCCTGCTCCACGCCCAACTCACAATCACAGGTGCTAAAGGACTGCATCCCTCCCCCAAATCTCTCAATATACAAGTGCAGAACATGCTAAAGCACTGTGTGAAGCAAAGACAAGGTCAAATCCTTGTAACCGGGAGTGACAATACTGTAGTGCAGTATTATCCCATGGTACTATTAACAGAAACACACTAGGAACAAAAACAAGAGTGTAGGGGTAAGCATACATGAAACAACATGAAAGACTGTCAATAAAAGAGGAAAATCACTAATTCACACAAATATAAAAACACGTACCAAAGATTTTGTTTCACTCAATAAGTGAATTAAGAGAATTTAGAACTGGTTCAAAAATTAAAATGAGCCATCAGAAAGGCAAATAAGTTTTCAAACAAATGCAAAACTGGTCCATACCCTCAGAGTAACAATCAACTGCATCTCCAAAGGACACGAATTGCATGTCTGTGAAGAATTATTTACATTACCAAGAATATTCTACAACTTAGCTCAAAGACAATTTAAGATGGAGTTAGCAAAGAGCATACAAGATGGGAAATGGTATATTTTTTTAGATTCTGTGTGAAATGAGCGGTAAGGGCTGCTTTCCAAGTAGCCAAACCAAGATGAATCCCCTCCAGTCCCCTCCCCATCCCACCCCCCGCCCCATTTCAAACCTCAGCATGAGGACTTCGGCCCAAAACTCCCTACGAAAGGTACTTCTTCAACTCTTCCACCACCACTTGAGGCTCAGGAAATTTGAGTTTGCGTGGAGGCCCCTTCTTAATCCCAGTCCAGAGCTCCGCACCTGGGAAAGGACCCAATAAAGCGAAGTTACTTTGGAATCCACAAGCTCCTCTCCAGAATCAGGTGGCCGCGGTTTTGTAGACCAGCGCTTCCTCTATTTGGATCCCATGCCCCTCTTCCCCCAGACCTGGCCCCACTCACTGCTGCCGTCCGGGCGCTGCAGCGTCACCTCGAAGCTGCCCCTCCGGGGCTTGGAAGGGTTCACCTTCACTGGAAGCTCCGGGGCCTCCAGGCGCAGCGCCTGGCTCAGGGCCGCGGCGTTGCGCCCATAGACGCGTCAGCTCGTGCTAGAGAGAGACGGGGAGATTAGAGACTGGCGCCCCTGGCCTGCGACGCCATTATCCCCGCTCCCCTGTGACTCTCCAGGCCCCTCACCAATGCTCGATCACGACGGTCGCCTCCTCCACTCCCTCCCCACCGTTCTCCAGCTTCTCCTGCTTCTCGGCCGTCGCGACCACTGAGGCCTCGGCCTTCCTCTTCCTCGCGCGGGGAGCCATGGCGACTAGAGCCCGACTGGGAGCAGAGCCGACCTGGGATGTGGGAGAGGGGGAATAGGTGGAGACGTGACCACTGAGCAGGAACTGGGCAGCAGCAACCTCAGGACCTCAAGCTAGACTCTCTGACCCCAAAGCGGAAATCTCTCCCCAACAAGCGGAAAGCATGTCCGCAACGCCCACGTGGCCTGGAGGCGGGACCTTCGGGCACAACCACTCTGCGCGCAGGGAGGGGGAGCGCCGGACCAAACCATCCAGCGGGTGGACACAGCAGGGGCGGGACTAGGCAGGTCTGAAAGCAAACCTCGCTTCACCCACAGGCTTTTCTGTACCCACGCGTCGCGCTAAATGGCACAACCCTCCCCGCAAACCCTACTCCCTGGGATCCACGGCCTGATGCCAAACTAAATCTACAACCTGACTCCGTGCAGTCGGTACTCTAGGATTACGGAAGCTAGATTTACCCCACTTGCTAATCCTGGGGATCAATGCCAGGCACTTGGTGAAACAAAATAGGTTGACCTTTGACACTAAGAAAGAAAATGAGCAATTCCTCTGCAGTTGCGTGTTTTTGTTTTTTTTTGAGATAGGGTCTCACTCTGTTGCGTAGGCTAGAGCAGCGGTCGCCAACCTTTTTGGCACCAGGGATCAGTTTCATGGAAGACAATTTTTCCACAGACTGGGGGTGGGGTGGTGGTTTCGGGATGATTCAGGCACATTACATTTACTGTGCAGTCGAACCTCTCTGCTAATGATAACCTGTATTTGCAGCTGTTCCCCAGCGCTAGCATCACCGCCTCAGCTCCACCTCAGATCACCAGGCATTAGGTTCTCACAAGGAGTGCTCAACCCAGATCCCTCACATGCACAGTTTACAGTGGGGTTCCATCTCCTATGAGAATGGAATGCCACCGCTGAACTCACAGGACGCGAAGCTCCAGCAGTGGTATGAGAGATGGGGACCAGCTGTAAATACAGATGAAGCTTCCCTGCTCACCCACCCACGGCTCACCTCCCGCTGTGTAGCCCAGTTCCTGACAGGCCAAGGATTGGTACTCTGCAGCCTGCCTGGGGACTGGGGACCACAGGGCTAGAGTGTAGTGGCTTATCATAGCTCACTGCATCCTCTAACTCCTGGGCTTAAGCCATGCTCCTACCTCAGCCTCCTGAGTAGCTGAGGCTACAGGCCAGACTGGCACCACCATACCTGTAGTCCCACGTAATTTTTTTTCTTCTCCCTACATTGCTCAGGCTGGTCTGGAACTCCTGGCCTCAAGCAATCCTGCCTCAGCCTCCCAAAGTGCCTCTGGCATTACACACAAGAGAAACACACCAAGGCACAATCAAAAGGAAATCCCAGTCTCTTTATTACGGAAAACCATCAACTGGGTATGGGAAACAGATAGGAGGGTTAGTGAAACCCCAATCAAGTCCGGGGGCTTTCTCCTCTAGGTGACAACACACAAAGGAACATCTCAAGCCTCTATTCCCCCTTCCTCTAAATCCCCACAAAATAGGGGGATTGTCCAATACTGTCTTCAATGATAAAAACTCCATGGTTAGAGGTTTCTCTTTAGGACCAGTGATAAAGTTAAGTTAGGCTTATACTTTTAATGAAGGCCATAAACCAAGCAAGAAGGGCCCTAAGGAAGCAAGAGTCCTTGAAGGAAAATGCTTGACATTCTATACCCCAGCATCTTACCTTAGGGTTTTTAATCTAGGTCTAACTAGGCTGTGCAGGTCCACTAAGAGGAATAATGAAACCACAGAGTGGCAGAGATGTCTAAGTGGTTGATAACAGTTAACACACTGACCCAAGTTTGAAGGGAAACCATTTCCTCCTCCATCATATGAGATCTCTCCCTTCCTCCAGCAAAACAGTTGGCCACAGCAGGGCAGGCCTTCCTGTAGGGTGCCTAACAATTCCCTGGATACCTCTTTAAAATGAGAAGCAGTACCTTGCCCCACCTAGGAACAGCAAAACAGGGAAAATATAAATAAAAGGCCAAGGCTTCAGGCTTGTGGTTTTAGAAGAAGCAAGGCCTCCAAGGAGCCTGGAATTGACAAGAGAGGAAGCACTGACAAGGCAGGGATCCTATTTGTCCTTCTTGTTTTCCCCATCTGGCACTGTGGTGGGAGTTGGGGCCACAGGCTGCTCTTCGGGGATACTGTCTCCAGCCTTTGATAGCTTCTTGGCCCGTTGGTATAGCTCATTCAGGTTGAACTCTCGGATCACATTCTCCTGTACAAAAGAGATGCACACATCAGGATCTGGGGTGGGAAGGAGAGTTCAGAGCCTAGAAAGTAAGAAGTATTTAGACAAAGTCTAGGAAAGGAAAGAGAAAGCAAAGGACAGAAACCTGCCCTAACCTAGCATTCCTCTTTTTTAGGTACCCAGAAAAGTCAACTAATATTGAAGTGCCCATGAAGTACCAATCACTGTGCAAGAATTATACCTACATTATTTAATGTAGTCTGCAGAACAATCCCGTGAGCCAAGTGTTACTGTCTCCAATTTACCGACGAGGAACCTAATGCCTATAGATTATATGTGCAGTGGCCTTAGAGACTGTGGCTAAACTAATAATTGTTCCCCAATACTAGAAGGTTTGGCATATAATATAAATTTGCTAAGTGAATAAATGAGGTCTCTCAAAGCTAGTGCACAAGTGGCAGAGCTATGAATCAAACCCGGGGTGGGCTCCAAAGCCCATTCACTGTTCTATACCCTCCTCCAAACCACATACCCATCCTTTCAGGTACCTCAGAGAAGGTCCAAGAGACAGCTCGTCCTTTCTTGTCAATCTGTGGTCGCCGCATTACTTCTTTGCCACCTTGGAACAGGATCAGGGTAGGGAGTTGCTTGGTGAGGGGTGATGTGCTCACTTTGTACCTACAGGACCCAGAAAGGACTCTGTAAATGCACCTATATACATCAGTCAAAGTGATTCCCTGCTCAGACTCTCTGCCCGGGTCTTTACATACCGTGTACTAACATCAGTGTAGCGTCCAACGTCCACCTTCCCAAAATTTAGCCCTGTACAGTTGTACCTGAGAAGAATATGTTATTTACCATACCAAAAGAAGAAGGAATGAATCAAGGGAAGTAGAAATGTAGATATCTTGGGATGGGAGGGGAAAATGCCTTTGGCTGTCATGTGCAAAAATCAAGGCCAAAAACTGTGAGAGGGAATGCAAAGCATCTCAATTCCCATCATCCCTCCCTTTGCACTACTCACTTGAGGGAGAGGTCAGCATAGATAGGAGCAAATGATTGGCAGTCATTAGACCAATTGGCAAAGAACTCCACAATCCAAGTGACCCTCTTGTCCCGCTCCAGTTCCTCCTGCCACACACAGGGAAGAAAAATGAGCTAGATCACTCAGGCTCCTGGAAAGGTTCAAACCTTAGCATCTAATTCCTTTTCCTGGCTTCCCCTCTCCCTCAGCTCCCATAATAAACCACAGTGCCTTGGACTTCCATGTGGAAGCACTGTTTTTCCTCCTAGTGAGTAGAAAGCAAAATTACAAAATCATCCAACAGGGATCCAAGAAACAGAAGGGAGGAAGAGCACTCACGTCAATGGTTTTATCATTGAAGTACTTGATGTATTCAGGGCCCATATATAGGGGCGGTTTGCAAGTCATCAGGAACACTAAACACAGAAAGAAGATGTCAGAGGAAACACATATGACCTTCTATTGGGGATTTACTTCCAAGCCAATTCAAGGATTTCAGCCACCGAAGAATACACACTTGTGGACATACGTAGACCACTAACACATTCCCTTCCTCTTGAAATACAGTCTCTCTGTAGATTCTTGTCATCTGAGCTACACACATAATTAATTAGGTACAAGATATGGAAGAAGAGTATGGAGAAACCTGTTTGGGATTGGAACTTGGTTCCCAAAATTAAGTCTTCATCAACACAGTCTTACAAAGAATATGCAGAAAGGCAGTCTCCTCACCTATGCAGAGTGTGATATAAAGCAGGCCCATGCGAATGTCCAGGCGGAAGAAAAGAATTGCGTTGGCCACTTTACTAAACATGAAGATGTTGCCTATATGTTGCTCCACAGTGACTGAAACACAGAGATGTCACAGGTCAGGCTGGGCTGCACATTCCTAAATCCTATTCTTTGTCCCTCTTCTTGGGGCACTTTGAAATGGGAGAGAGAGGAGAGGACAGAAGTCCAAGATCAAATTAAGCCTTGGCATAAAATGTGGGACCAGTTCACCAAATGATGCCCCTCTCATAACATGAAGAAAAGCACCTCCAGAGGGCAGCAGACCTCGCCCTGAGAGACTGACAACCAGGCAAAACTTACTGGATCTGCGATTCTTCATCATCACAATGGCACTGAGAAACATCAGTATCTCCACTTCTCTCTGCAACAGAATCAGAGTGACAAGAATGTGGTGAATAGAGCTGATTTGGATGGGTAAGGGGACCAAATATAAATTAAAAACCAAGAGATCCAAACTGGAAATGCTAACAATAAAAAATAACTGAAGTCAGGTAAGGTGTACTGGGATAAACACCAGCCAGAAGACCTAGGTTCAGGTTCTACCCCTGCCACAAACCACTGGTGTCCTTCACTAAATCACCCAATCCCTGAGCTATGGTTTCCTCGCCTGAATAGTATCTATTTTGAAATGCTACTGTGAGGATTACAAGAGATAGTGGATTAAAAAAAAG